AGTGTTTCAGAGTGTGTTCAGAGTGTTTCTGGTTGTTTTAGGGTGAGGTCAGAGTGTTTCAAAGTGAGTTCAGAGTGTTTCAGAGGTCAGAGTGATTCAGAGTGATGTCAGTGTTTTAACGTGTTTCAGAGTGAGCTAGGTGTGTTTCAGAGTGATGTCTGAGTCTTTCAGAGAGAGGTCAATGTTTTAGAGTGTTTCTGATAGTTTTAGAGTGAGGTCAGAGTGTTTTAAAATGAGGTCATAGTGTTTCAGAGTGTTTTAAAGTGAGTTCAGAGTGTGTTCAGAGTGTTTCTGATTGTTTTACTGTGAGGTCAGAGTGTTTCAGAGCAAGCTCAGTGTTTTTAGAGTGTTTCAGAGTGAGCACAATGTGTTTCTGGGAGTCAAAGTAGGTCAGAGTGTTTCAGAGCAAGCTCAGTGTTTTTAGAGTGTTTCAGAGTGAGCACAATGTGTTTCTGGGAGTCAAAGTGTTTTAGAGTGAAGTCAGGGAATTTTACAATGTTTCTGAGTGAACTCAGATTGTATCAGTGTCTGACCTTCACAGTCTACTTGTGACACTGAGGACAGATGACGTTGTGTCAATTCCAGCAGTCCGTGCAGGGAGCAGAGGTTGTTAGCTCGGTTCTGATGGAAAAATCAATGCAGCCATGCTGACAGTGTTCGATCACGAGGAGGTGGGGATCTAAAAACACAGGCTGTTGTCATGTTGTCATGCAACAATCTAACTGAAAAATAGAAGACAGATTTTATTAAAAATAGAATGTGTTTTTATAGCCTGCTGACAAAGCTGCAGCGCAAAAATGTTTCTGTTCTTGTTTATGTGTCTCATTATAAACCACGGAACAGATTTTGAATAATGTAAAAAGTAAATAGATGTYCATCTGCAGTTGTTTAACTTTTAAAGTAACCCAGACTCAAAATTCTAGTAACAATATTAGTGTCACAGTTTTTAGGGTTATTGGATTTCTGGTTACTTCCTGTTATGTTTTGAGAATCAATCCCTTGTCTTTAGTACTTCCTTATTCTTTTGTCCCATCCTGAAATGACAATCAGCCCCACCTGTTCCTCATGTTTATCTTCCTTCTGTGTATTTATGGCCCTGTTCTCCATTTTCCAGTTGACACTTCCTCATGTTGTAGCTCCAGTGCTTTAAAAAAATTAAACTTTATTTAACCAGGTAGAGCCCACTGAGATCACAGATCTCTTTTTCCTTTGGCAACCTGACATGTCTGTCCATAAAACCCACACAAACATGAGGAGAACATGTAAACTCCACAAAGAAACGTGCCAGGTCACTGAAAGACCCCAGGTCCAAATCAGGGACTGAACCCAGGACTTTCTTGCTGTGAGGCTACAGTGTTAACCACTAATCCACCGTGCTGTTTTCTGTGGTTTGCATTTTTACATTAAAAACAAAACAAAAAGGAAGTTTATTTGTTGTGCCCTGATTAACTTGTAAAGTCAGTCCAGGTCAGGATGTCTGCCAGATCAACTTCAGCAAAATGAGGAAATAAATTAGATGATTTAACAGCTGAACTTTGATATGGTAGTAGCTGAGAGTCATCCTCAACACACATCTTTTCATTTCACATTAAACAACTAGGTTAGGTTATGTTTTGTAAATGAGAAGTGGTTCTCCAACAGTTTACCTGGATAAAGGTTAAATAAATAAAATAAACATAAGAGAACGGCTTCAGCTTCGTCATTTCTCAAGCCGCAAAAAATTAGCTACAGCTAAAAGTAGCAAAAGGCAAGCTAAAGCTACAACAATGGGCTAGCTAAACTCTACAAATAACAATGGGCTAGCTAAAATCTAAAGTACCAAATGGTTTACCAAAAGTAAAATGGTAGTATACAGCTAAAGTAGCAACACATATAAATAGAAAAACAGTAAATAAAATCTAAAGTAGCAAAGGGAATAGCTAAAAGCTAACAGTAGCATAATGGTAGCTAAAAGCTAAAGTAGTGAAATGCTAGCTGAAAGGAGCAGAATGATAACTAAAACCTAAATCTGCAAAAAGCTAGCACAAAGGAGTAGTTAGATTATACAAAAACATACATTATAKCCAGTAAAACAATAAATCCGACAATAAAAACCTATTATGTTGTTAGAGTAACCTTCCTGCAGGATTGCTCAGGATGCTAGTGCTACAGGGAGGTTCTGCCTCTCCAAAATGGCGGCATCGTTGACGTACGGCACGCCAAGCACGCGCTGTCTACGTCCTGTAGGTCTACGTCCTGTAGGTCTATGCGAAAAACACCCAGGTTAAAAAAAGCTCAGCGGAGAGGCCGCGGGATGACTAAATGTGATAGTTTCTCCGGTTCTTTGCGACACGGTTGTTGCTCGGGTTTGTGTCGGTGTAAAGGTAAACGTGAAGAGGAGGTTCTCCATCATTTTGAGGAGCAGGAGCATCCCGATGAGAAGAAATCTGACGGTTCTAACGGTAAGCCTAAAGATTTTCAGCAGCTGGAATCGCAGAGGCAATCCTGTGTTTTCATCTCAGCAGGTGAATGAATGTTCTGTAAATATGAGTGAACAGGAAGCAGACTGAAGGGAATCAGGCACGATGCCCACAGTCTAACTCTGACAGCCTAAACCATAGATTGAAGATTTGTTTGACGACGTGTGGGCTCAGATCATTTCCAGCTCTGGTCCTGGAGAGTCTAACACGGACATGAACATGATGGTTTTCAAACCTGTCTGTGTGATGAAGAGCAACATGTAGCTGCAGGCCCACAGCTCAACATCTGGACTGATGGATAGAAGCTGCTGCTGCAACATTTTCATTTTCAGTCCTTATCTGGACTGTTTGGTGGCTGAATTGGGAAATACTCGTAAAACATTTGTGCGTTTTCTTCAGCTGAGTTAGTTTTTATTCTGCACACATGATGTAACTCAGTTATTGTATTACTGTATCTTTAGTTTCACCCAGAGGCAAGGTTATGTTTCTGCTCAAGTCTTGAGTCAGGTTCCAAGTCAAGACTTGCAAGTCTTTAGTCGAGTGCAGAGTAAAGACATGCTAGTCCTGAGTCATGCCCACTGTAAAGACATGAAAATATTTAGTTGAGTCCAGAGAAAAGACATGCTAGTCCTGAGTCATGTCCAACATAAAGACATGCAAGTCCTGAGTCATATCCAACATAAAGACATGCAAGTCTTTAGTCGAGTGCAGAGTAAAGACATGTAAGTCCTGAGTCATGTCCACTGTAAAGACATGCAAGTCTTTAGTTGAGTGCAGAGTAATGACATGCAAATCCCGAGTCATGTCCAATGTAAAGACATGAAAATATTTAGTTGAGTCCAGAGTAAAGACATGTAAGTCCTGAGTCATATCCAACATAAAGACATGCAAGTCTTTAGTCGAGTGCAGAGTAAAGACATGCAAATCCCGAGTCATGTCCAATGTAAAGACATGAAAATATTTAGTTGAGTCCAGAGTAAAGACATGTAAGTCCTGAGTCATATCCAACATAAAGACATGCAAGTCTTTAGTCGAGTGCAGAGTAAAGACATGCAAATCCCGAGTCATGTCCAATGTAAAGACATGAAAATATTTAGTTGAGTCCAGAGTAAAGACATGTAAGTCCTGAGTCATGTCCAACATAAAGACATGCAAGTCTTTAGTCGAGTGCAGAGTAAAGACATGTAAGCCCTGAGTCATGTCCACTGTAAAGACATGCAAGTCTTTAGTTGAGTGCAGAGTAAAGACATGCAAATCCTGAGTCATGTCCAATGTAAAGACATGAAAATATTTAGTTGAGTCCAGAGTAAAGACATGCTTTTCCTGAGTCATGTCTAACATCAAGACATGCAATGCAGCTTGCAAAATCTGGTTTCTTCTCCATGAGAAGTGACAGTTGTGTCTCGCTGACGTGGTTGTTGTGATGATAAGTGTCTTTTCCTTCTCACATCACCCTGCCCTGTCAGATGGATTGTCACACAGGATCTGTACCAGGTGTTGTGTGATTGGTCAGATTAACATTGTGGGTGTGTTCATGTGTAGAAGCAGGTGAACACTGGTGTCATTTTCTCTTCAACAGCTAAGGTTCAGCTGGCTGAGGCTGTTAGAAAATACAAAGTTTATGAAGAGATAGTTAAATAAAACTTATAAAAAAATAGTAAATAAAACATTTAAAAATAGCTAAGAAGATTTGAAGACTTTTTGTGCATTCAGGAGACAGCGTGGAGACACAGGCAGCTCTCTGTGACTGTGACATGTCCTCGGCCTGGCAGCCGGGACATGTTCTGCCACGGTTTGTTGGAAACTCGGTCACAAATTTACAAAATAACGCTTCTAGATTAACAACAGAAATAGTAGATCATCTTCCTCCAACTTCTCCATCATCAGCTAAAGATTTTAACATCCTCGTTTACTTTGCATATTATACGAATATGCCTATAAAATATTCATTATTAAGCAATATTGGATGCTGTTTAGGCAGAAAAAGGATTAATGTTTGGAATTTTAAATAAAATAAATTCAAATAATATAATAAATCATGGGATGCATTTTAAATTTTTTGTTTAAATTCTGTGAGATTGTAATTTTGCTTAATGTTACATCATTAGTATCTCATACTGGTCATGTTTAGTTACGGGACCTCTGGTTTTAGTTATTTGATTTTAAAGAAGTATCTCCCACATATATAAAATATTCAAAATTATGATTATTTAGGAGAACAAAAAATCTTTTTGTTCTTCTGGTTCCTGCCTGTCTCACCGTGTTTCCCTTATCATCGGGTTTTGTTGAATGAATTAATGCCTCTTTGTGTTTCCTGTTCCTCTGTTTTAGAGCATGTGAAGTGGAACCATGACAAGTCAACTTAAAAGAACCGGTCCATCTCACAGGACCGATGGAGGCAGACGGACTCGGACACAAATGATCACACTGTGGYTTCCAGAGGACCGTGTCCATGAGGCTGGACTGGAAACAGGAAGTGGACAGTGTTTGGATCACTTCAGGGACCTGTAGGCATGCTCAGTTTGTGCCTCTGACACAGAACCCAGGGACAGTATTGGACTGAGCGAACGGGCGCAGTGATGTAACAACACATCTCTCTCTGGTGAACGGGTCGTGACAATCAGAACTCTGCTGTAGTTCTGGCCACACGATGTGGGCTTCAAAGAGACCAACGAAGAAGGAAACGGGTGAAAGCCACTCTAACCTTTGATCCACTCCTGCACAACGACACAGAACTTCTCTGTTTTTCATTAAAAAAAAACAACTAAAGGTTGAGGCTCGGAGTCATCATCATGCCACGGAACCAAGCTTTTTCAGAACCGGAGTTTTCTGCGGAGTATTCTGCGGACTGCTCGGTGACGTTGCCCTCTGACCCGGGCCAGGCTGTGGGGCGGACACACGAGGTGACGGTGAGGAGCTCGGGGTGCTGCCTGTGCCTGCCGCGCTTCATGCGCCTCACCTTTGCACCGGAGTCTTTAGAGAACCTGTACCAGACCTACTTCAGGCGGCAGAGACACGAAACCCTGCTGGTTCTGGTCGTGTTCGCGGCCCTGTTCGACAGCTATGTCCTCATCACCTGCGCGGTGGTCTACACCTCCGACAGGCTGGCCTCTGTTTTAGTGGCGTCAGTGGGACTCACGGGCGACATTATTCTCTACCTGCTGTGCCGCTTCGGGCTGCTTCCGGACCGGATCACGCGGCGGGTGGTGCCCTACGCCCTCTGGGTGCTCATAGCGGTCCAGATTTTCTGCTACTTAGGTCTGAACTTCGCTCGCTTCCACCAGGCCAGCGACACGGTGGGCTGGCAGGCGTTTTTCAGCTTTTCTTTCTTTCTCACGCTGCCTTTGAGACTCACACCCATTGTGCTCGTCACGGCCGTGTCCTGTGCGGTCCACACTCTGGTTCTGGGGGTCACCATTGCACAACAGCAACAGCAGCAGCAGCAGGACATCGAGGGGGCGGCGCTCACCCGACAGGTGAGTCAAGGAGGGGAGGTGTTCCAAATCATATATTCAAATAACTGCTTTTTAAACATTATAATTACTGTGTGTGTGTACATGCTTTTGCTACCTTGTGGGGATGATTTTTGGCTATTTCCCTGGTACATACAGCCTGGTATGGACCCACCGTTCCTTAAGGGGTACAAAAGCCCGGCCCCCATTTGTGGGGTTAGGGTTAGGTTATAGAAATGACCGGTGGATGAATGGAAGTCAATGCAAAATATGGTTGTGGTAGTAGCTGAGAGTCATTCCCATTCAATACTTATGAACCTCTTAACAGATTATATAAGATTTCACAATGTGATATGAAATTATAACCCTTTACAAGGTTTGATCCAAACTCTGGTCTTTCTCACCATAAGAGGATTTTATTTGAAAGCTGCTGCAGGTGATACCCACTCCTACAAGGAAAGTCTTTAAGTCTTAGTTAAAAAGATATCATACTGTACATATTTTGTGTGTCTGCACATTCAGTACTGTTGATGAACCAGACAGCCGTCAGTCTTAGGTGAACAGTTGCTCAGGTGTTGAGTCTCTGGTTTCATCTGGATCTTGGACCATTTGAGTAAAACTGCCTTGTTGATTGTAGTGGTCTGATAACTAGAGACACATTTTAATTGGCCACATTAAAAAATAAAGTCAGTAATTACTGTGAATACTTTAATTACTAAGTAGGAAAATAAAATGCAGATTTCAGTGGTATTGTTACTGAATTGTAGAAAATGCCTAGCCATCAAAAACATAATGCCATCTACAGAAAGGGCCAAATCGAATCTACTTTCTGAGACGTCTGAGGTCCTTCAACATCTCCCGGACAATTCTCAGGATCTTCTGAGTCTATGGTGGCGAGTGCCTTCCTCTATGCTGTGGCATGCTGGGGCAGCAGACTGAGGGGGGGCTGACACCAACAGACTCAACAAGCTGATCTGAAAGGCTGGAGATGTTGTGGGAGTAGAGCTGGACTCTCTGACTGCAGTGTCTGAGAGGAGGATGCTGGCAAAGCTGCAGGGAATCATGGACAACAGTTATCATCCTCTCTACGACACTGTTAGGAGTCACAGATGCACATTCAGTGCAAGACTCATTGCACCTAAATGCACCACTGAGCGCCACAGGAGGTCGTTCCTACCAGTGGCCATCAAACTCTATAACTCCGCCTGAAACATGTGAAACCATAAGTCATCTGTCACTTTAATACACCTGTGTACTTTATTTATCTTCGATACCTTGATCTAACATGTGCAATATCACTAAAATCACCTATTCTTATATCATCTAATGATATCTGATGGGACCTTTGCATCAGTCATACTGTTTTTAGCTTCAGAGTATATCACTGTTTTTATTTCTATTTACACTGTATCTGCTAAAGAACACTCACTGTTCTCTGTGTTCATTTTGATTCTCCAGAGTTTTTATACTTACCGGTATTTCTTCCTTGTGTGCTCGAATTCCTTTATACTTTATCTCTAATGCTTACTTGAACGGTTGCTGCTGTAATAATTGCAATAATTGTATTCTGATTCTGATCAGTGTAAATAACAAGAATATTTTGTTGCAGCAGAAGTGATTGTACTTCCTGTCTAGCACAGTTGATAATACAGCCATGAAAACAGTTTGTTAACCCAAGTACAGCAATAAACAGGACACAGAGCCATGGTAAACATTTGAATTTCATACTGGCAGCCCCTCAGAAGAGACAAAAGCTTTGTTAATTAAAGCAGTTCATATATATTAGTATTTTATCCATTAATATATTTGTTTTGCATAAATTTAAGTCAGCATGTAGGTGTAAACAATGTTAGGTAATCGGTCACGTGCATGTATATATTTCAGCTCCTGTGTTGGTTACATTCTTGGTCGGGGTTTCAGAGAAACTGCTGAGCGTCATCTGCATACAAAATGTGCTGATGGTGGAGGAGATAGAGCAGAAACAGTAGAGTCCCCCAAATCTGAGAGGGAACCCATGAAACAGGATATGAAGTGGGCTGAGAAGGTACAAAAAGATGGGTTTGGTTTTTCACAACCAAACAAATCTGGATATTTAGTGACCAAAGCTGCAGAAGTACAGATTAACCCAAAACTGATGAAACATTTTCCTGACTAACACATCAGACTGTCAGGCTGGACATGTCTCCATTTCCCAAACCCAACTTCATCCTGAAAGACTTGAACTGTCAGTGATTCACGTGTCTGGCTGTACATAAACAGATCCAAACTGTCACTTTCTCATTAATCCATTGTTAGTGCACGTTACAGGAGCTTCATCTTTCATCAGTCAGACCAGTTCTTTCCACAACAGCTTCATTTTATTGTACTTCATCACATGTCTCTTCATGTGGCATTGATTTAATTCCACCAAAATCCTCTCTGACGCAGGAGCCACAGTTCAAACTGTGGATGAAAGTTGACCGCTGGGCATCATCAGATATGTTACTGCTTTTATCCACAAGAGATTATGCAATGACATCTTTTCTGTTTTTCCATGAGCTGCTGCTGCTGCTGTAGATTGATTGTTGGCATGTTCACCACCAGCAGTGGTGTTTCTGACATTTAAAAGTCGTCTTCTATAGACACAAAACATTTCTCACTTTATTCATCTTTTGATGGCGTTTTGTTGAGATCTCTGCTGTCGTCCGCTTTCTTATCGCTAACGTTTCTACTTCCACAAGTTTCTGTTCTGTATTAAGATCTGTAAACTTTTTCTGTTAAGTTTTTACTGTTGCCTTATAATCATATAATTGAATAATTATGACTACCTCAGGGCTGTACAGAGGACAGACAGGTTTAGTTAGTTGGTGCTTGCAATGTCAGTGCACGTAGAGCACTTATTACTCCACCTTCAAACAGGTTTCTGTATAGCTGAACTTTAACAACCGTTGGAGTTCTTCCATCAGTCTGAGGAACATTTTTCCCCCCTTCTCAACACAGACTTGTTTCAGACGTAAGAGGTTTATGTACAGAACCAGAACTCTCTGGGATTAATTCCAAATACAACTAGAAAAATTGTGTTTCTTGCGAAAATGCTAGTGCGAATGCTTCATGCTGAAAACTTAAGCTAAAAGCTTCGGAAATTAAGCTTAAAATATTTAATAGAATAAGTGTTAATGTGAGCTCACCTTGAAAAGCTGAAAGAAGCAAAAAAGCCCAACTTTGCAGAAAAACAGTAAAAAGGAGCACAAATCTAGTTGAAAACAGAAAACAGCTAAAAGCTAAGCGCTAAAATAGCTGAATATAGCTGAAAACATCTGTAAGGTAACAGGAAAAACACATAAAAAGTAGAAAAAGGCAGAAGAATAGCAGAAAGAAGCAGATCTATAGATAAAGTAGCAAAAAAGGCTAGAATTAGCATAAAATAAGCTAAAGGTAGCAGCCACAATTTGAAATTCGCACCCAGTTGAAATATTGTTGAAAAATAGCTAAAACAGAAAAAATTCTGAAATAACTTTTCGCCACCCATTCCATACGAAAGTATTGTATGACTGGAGCAGAAGTTTGTAGGCGATGGTCTTCTCCTCTTCTAGAAGTTGTCTGTTCGTCCAAACAGCACGGGTAGTTTTGAGGAGCAGTTGCCCGGGGCCATCAGAAAGTACGTCCATCTGTAGGCTGCTTATAAATGCTGTGTCCAAAACGGGTCCTCCGAAGGCCGAATTCGTCGGCCACATACATCACAGCGCCGCGACGAAGGCCGTCCAAAACCGAAGACTCCTCCGATGCGGCCGACAAATACGTCCTTCCTTTGGCCCGAATCGAAGGACAGGTCTGATGGATCCTTCCCGGACCACCATATCCCATAACGCATTGCGGCCCGACCGGAGATTTTTTTATGCTAGTAATGGCGGACGAAGCGAGACAAAAGAATACATTTTAGATAAAAATATGGAGATATAGAACTTAAAAATTTTTTAGCGGTTGTAATTCTAACACTTTTATCTTTTGAATGGACATGTTTTTAAAATATTTTTGTCATAAAAACGCGAAATAAACATGCACCTACAGCGGGTCAATTAGTTCTTCAAATGTTACCTTTAAGTTAATTTTATTGTTTTGTGATATTAAAAATGCTAATATATTGATATTTTTCTAGTTTTGATTTAAGTTTGCTTGTTTAGCGTTGTTACAGTTGCTAGGTGACATGACGTAAGGACAGGAGGCTAGACCATCCAAATTCACAGCCTCTTTTTTTCCAGTCTTCCCGGTCTACCAAGGACCTGGCCCACCTCGATCGGGTAGTCTGGGTCCTCCGGAGGATCCGGCCTGTCGTTTTGGACACAGCCAAAGAGTCAAATGGCCAAAAACCCCTGGATGAGGAGAGCACAGATGTTGTACACAGAGGAATCTGTCAGCTGGTCAGCTGCCAATCAACCATGCTGGACCATTAAACCTGGCTACAGGGGGTGTGCTCCAACTTTCCTGTTCCCAGCCTGGTGACAGGCTCACAGTGAGGTTTCTTCATCAGGATCTAATGGTCAAATTGTTCTGATCCCTTCTCTGGGACCAGTTGGCAGTAGAAGACTGTAACAGGCTGATGGACCTCAGGATCATGAGACTACTCAAACCCCTCGATTGAGTTAAGGTGTTGATTCATCAGAGGGTTGTATTATCTCCAAAAGAAACTAGAATCTTTTTTTATAGTTGGTTGGTAACATTAATGCTGATGATTGGAGAATGATCTAAAAAAAGTTTTTAATTGAAGCTATTCTTACTACAGCTGAGTACATATGTGTGTGTAATTGATGTTAGCTGTAACTTGTGTAACCTTTCTCTTTTCCAGCTGTTGGCCAACCTTGTGATCTACATATGTACCATCACTGTGGGTGTCATGTCCTACTACATGGCTGACCGAAAGCATCGAAAGGCTTTTCTGGAGGCAAGACAGTCACTGGAGGTTAAACTTAACCTGGAAGAGCAGAGCCAGCAACAGGTCAGAGGTCATCCCGAGTCACACTGTTTGCGCTATTGTCTGTGTTAGAGGATAGATGAAGAGGACATCAGCCTCCTCACACTGTTTTCACAACACAATCAGTCTGAACTGAAGTTATTTTACAGAAATTATTTATCTATTTGACAATCTGTTATAGTAACGTGTCATTGTGAGGTCATCTCTGGAAATGAGACAGATTTAATTAGACTGGAAAACATTTAGAATCAAATTAAATTCTGTTATCCACTGTGTAGGGCTCTATGAAATCTGTCTTCCCACCCCCCAGTTTCTTAAAAAATCTCTTTTTATGATGTTTACACAATTTTTCTTTGAAAGAATTCTGAAGGAAACTGCTTCATTTTACTCTTAGCTGTTAGCTGTGTCAGCTTCTAGCTTTATAAGCTGTTAGCCGTGTTAGTTGTTAGCTAAGTTAGCTATTAGCGGTGTCAGCTGTTAGAAGTGTTAGCTGTTTGCTGGTTTAACTGTATTAGATATGTTAGTTGTATTAGGTGTTAGCTGTTTAAGTTGACCAGATTTACAATACTGAATCTGAGGATGTTTCCAGCTCAGAGATAATAATTCTTCGTAATCAAGATAAAATAAGATTAAACTGGGGACAGTTACAGTTTACTGATGTTTTACATATTTACATTTCTTGAAGGAATGCATATCACCTGCTACCTTTGTTGCCAGAGCTGTGAAGTGAAATTATCTTCTGTTGAAGATGATGGGGTTACAGCTGTTTTTGTCAGATATTGTAAATAATATGCAGAATCTTGTAACATTGGGACGTGTTGGTGCTGAAAGTATGTGTTGAGAATGACTTGTCAGCTACATCCATCCGTTCGTTTTCTTCTGCTTATCCGGGGTCGGGTCGCGGGGGCAGCAGCCTAAGCAGAGAGACCCAGACTTCCCTCTCCCCAGACACTTGGACCAGCTCATCAGGGGAATCCCAAGGCGTTCCCAGACCAGCTGAGAAACATAGGCCCTCCAGCATGTCCTGGGTCTTCTTCTGGGTCTCCTCCCAGTGGGACATGCCCAGAACACCTCACCAGGGAGGCATCCAGGAGGCATCCTAATCAGATGCCAGAGCCACCTCAACTGGCTCCTCTCGACGTGGAGGAGCAGCGGCTCTACTCTGAGTCCTCCCGGATGACCGAGTTTCTCACCCTATCTCTAAGGGAGAGCCCAGACACCCTGCAAAGGAAACTCATTTCAGCCGCTTGTATCCGCAATCTCGTTCTTTCGGTCACTACTCAAAGCTCGTGACCATAGATGAGGGTAGGAATGTAGACCGACCTGTAAATCCAGAGATTTGCCCTCTGGCTCAGCTCCTGCTTCACCACGACAGTCCTGGACAGCGCTCTTATAACTGCAGATGCAGCACCAACCCGCCTGTCGATCTCCCGCTCCATTCTTCCCTTACTCGTGAACAAGACCCCGAGATACTTAAAGGGGCAATATTATGTGTTTCTCAGGCATACATTTAAATAAAATACCATAATAAAGTATCTATGTCACCTTTAGTTGTTATTAAAATGCTTTTTTATGTTTAAAAAGAAAATGAACTTTTCTCATCACTTCCTCTTCTAAACGCCTTGAAATTGGCCTCTGTCTATTTAAGATCCACCTTCCAC